ATGATAGTATGAATACTAATAATAATAATGATTAAAAAAATATATATATAGATCTTTCTGAGAATCAAGGAAAAAAGGTTAAGGTAAGATCAGATAGGCCTACTTATTAACACTTTGGTGAGTAATCAATATATGTTTAAACAAAATTACCGAAATCATAGTGGACTGGGCGTGCATGTACATACCTGGGCATGTATGTACATTCTCTCCTTGCATCAACTGGTTAACTTATTCTATAAGTTCATAGCTTGAATTCAGTTTTATTTTATTTAGGATACTAAATTTTACACTAGACTTATCTCGGACGTAGATTGAAGAACCCTTATTGACTTGCAGGCCATGTGGATGTGCCCGTCATAGCTGTGGAGCCCATGCCCCCACCATCTCCTCAATCCTCAATTTCTTCTCACTCTCAGGAACCCTCAACCCCTGTAACTACTTCCAACCCACCCATGATGTTCCCAAACCTAACCCCAATTAATCTCTCCTCCCATAATGATTCACAGTCATCTCGTGACAGTGCTTCATCAGATTCTGCAATGACTATGTCGCTAACTAGTAGTATAACCACCAAAGATTACTCAATACCAAGTTTGGAGCCTGTTTCCCCTGAAGTTACCCCAGAGCCAACCCCAGAACCCGCCCCTTCACTTAAAGAAGAGCATAAACCCAATGTGCCAAGAGAACCTCCTTCTCCAGAGAGACCTGTTCGATTTAAAAGATCTTCTAGCGTTACTGAGACTACTGCTCCACCTTCTCCTGCTTCTGTAAAATCTGAACAATCACTGGCAGTCCCATCACCAACTAAGGGACGTTCACTTAGTACTTCAGCAGCCCCAAAAGTTATGGAAAGAACAGTCATTACTCCTCCTGCAAAGGAACCTTCCACTCCAAAAGGGTCAGCTCTTGAGTCATTGGTATCTTCTGCATCAAAAGTATCACTTGTTGAAAGGGCCCTTGTTTCTCCAACTACTCCACCTACTCTTGAGAAGAATGACTCTAGCCAGAATATTTTGGATGTTAAAGCACCAAGTGAACAAAATGGGTTCAATGTATCTGCTCCACCAACTCCCACCACACCTAGTGCTTTTACATATAACTTTGGATCTGGCTCAGCCACACCCTCTACTCCTGCTACTCCCAAGGAGAGCAGTTCTGGTCCCACTCCTGCCACCCCAACTTCCCAGACATCCCGAGGGACCCCAGGGCTGGCTGAGCGGCCCAGTGCTGCAGTGGTGCGTTCTGGGTCCCTTCATGAAAAGCCCAACACTCAGCCCATCGTTGATGAGTGGGAGAGGAAACTTTATGGCAGGAATGCTAGTGAGTAGGATTGGTTACTTATGTTGGCTGTTGTTAGCTTTATAAAGATCGTAGGTATTTTTTGCATACAAAGATAGCAGCAATCATATTTGTTTGAAAGAAACAACTATGGATTAGTTGACTTTCTAATAATGATTTCCATACACATTATGATTACTGCTGAGCTTGTCTTACACTTGAGCTTGCTGGGAAATTTTGTTTTACCAGTTATTTCTGCCTCTGCTGCATGAAAAAGTTTTGTTTATTAACCTGAAGTGTATTGTGTATGCTCTACAGCTTGAAATAATGTATAGCATTTACACTACACTATTATGAAATGGAAATGAGTTTCTTTACATGACTATTACTTTTTTCTCCTTGGTGTATTAGATACTTTTATCTCATACCTTGGTATTTCCAGGTAATAAAGTATTTGGTTAATAGGATGGAAGGGATTATGTAATTCAGACCTTTTTTTTATATACAACTCGGAAGTGACCTGCATTTTTCGGAAAAAACAACAACTAATCTGTTTCTTTTTAACCTATGTCCAAGTGTCAAAGCCTTTTTATTCCTGTTTTTAGTATGGTAATCAAAACTTACATCATCTGTGATTGCTACAATTTGCCAATTCAGCATTAAGAAAATATAAATGCTTGATGATATTCTAACATTGCATGCTTTATCAGTGCATATGGTTTTCTTGAAAGCAGGGACTGAAGTAATCTGTAAGTAATCTGTATTTTTCCTTAACAGACTCTTTTTCCTATGGTAATCTGATAGTGTTAGTGTATTATTAATACACATGTTCAAAATATCTGTGCATGATTTCAGTTTGTAAGATGCTAATCTTGTGTTACAGAAGTCAAGAAGATTTCACCAGATAAAGCAAAAGGTTTGGTTCTAGTTGTCAAATTATCTCTTCTAGATTACTATTTTACATTTATTTGGTAAATACAGCTGTGTAGAGGAGCACAAATTTATATTCTAGGTTATTATTATCTGTTAGAATCTTTTTTTAGAACTTTCAATACAATCTGCTCATAATCTCTGAAAGATACAAAATAAGTAGTGGGGCAATCTGTTCATTTGATCTTTGATAAATCCTGTTGATGATTATGCCTCTTAGTACACACAGAATTTAACTCTTTTTTTAAGCAATGATATATAGAAGAGGGAATGATTATGTAAACTTTGAGTT